CATCGCCAAGAAGGGGAAGCACTTGGGACGGGCACTGCTACCGCGACTGCGGGGAGGAGACCGGGGTGCTGCAGCGGTTCTGTTACCGCTGCGGTAAAAGCGGCACCTCGGTCAAAAACTGCCCGAAATGCGGGCCAACATGGGTTCCGGGGGGATCAATAACAATATAATAAAAGTTAATTAAACCCGAAAAGTAGCGAGTCGTCACTAGCGTCGCCCCCCTATCCGCCGTCCCTGTAGCGAGTAGACACCCTATGCGATAGGGTTCGTGTTGGTTCCCCACAAAAAAATGTGTTTGTCACGCAACTCCACTCGTGGTACGGATTATATATTTTTTTTTGAAAATTTTTGTAGTTACCGTGTCTAAGTCCGAGTTTAAAATTTTGTGTGTTTCCTTGATGCTTATAGTTCTCTAGGTAACATATTGTAGTATTTTGGTTTTCCGTGTTGGTGATGGTTGTAGTTGTAACAGTTGAAGAAACATCGTAGCGACAAAACGCGTAAGTATGATTCGGTATTGACTAGGTATTACGGGAATCCTGGAGGAGTCGCCTAAGCGCCAGTAAAGTCAGAGCACCCATGGCTCGCGGTTTCCCCCTCTCTACCTGCTGCTGCGGCGTCCGTGTTAGTGACGTTACGTCACAATTAGATAAATAGAAATGTAAGCAAATTACAAATAATTGAAAATAGAGTGTGACTTTTCACTTATTTTACCAAAAAGAGCAACCAAATATCATCGTACTATATGTACATATAAATAATTACTTTCAACGAACAACACGGTGGGTAGACCTGTTCGGCCAGATCGTCAACCGACCGACTGACCGTCAAACATTCTTTCCGAGAATGCGGATCATCATTTGCCGGCGGTTGCACGACGATCAGATGGGATGGTGACGGATAGTGTGAATGCCACCATTTAAGGGGGGAGACTCCGTGGCCCGTGTGCTGTGTCGGTGCACTCACACAATCCACGGGATCCGTGTATGTATACGCGATGCACGAGAGAGACATTCGATCTCGTAGAATCTAACTTCTGCCTCGATAAGGGCACGAATGAAGTATTCACGGGTATAGTACTCACGGGTAGACTTCACTACAGGGTGGTCTGATCCTTAGAAACGCCAATAAACACCATACGTTCAAACAATTAGAATTTTAGAAATTGTGCGATTGTGACAAACGCCGATGAAGCACACAAGATGGCTGCTCAAGTCACATTTTGTCAAATATCACACGATTTAGTTGTTTTCTCGTCAAAAGCTGACCAGACCACCCTGTACACCACTGTCACACTATCGTAGAAATCCGATTTTTGTTAATTTATCACTTGTGGAAGGCGTAAGTTGGATTCCACGATTTGACGCGTCCAGACTCGGGAATATACAATGGTATAGTTCAAGGATTCTCCACTAGCGGCGCTTATGGTATTTGTCAGCCACTTTGGCCATGTTACCACCGAGCATCGATAAAACAGAGAGAAGTCGGTATATGTAACCTCGCAACACGTGCTAGATCGTATCAATTGTTTTGTTACGCTGTTGCCATACGACAATTCTGCCCATCAGGAGAACGATGGAATACCTACGGCTCGTGGCGAGATTTCGACTCTCGCCGAACATAGGAACAGAATGGTGCGACTGAAAGAGATTCAAGAATGAAGCAATACTTACGTACTAATGTGTGCAACGATAAACCTTTTCTATTTGTACTTGCAATGATGCTAATTTTTTTTATTACATACGAAATACTTGAAATGGCATTCCCGAGAAACAATAGTTATTTATCATTTATTGACCTAATTAATGCAGATGTTATATACTTACACATATATTTCATAAAAAGATGCAAAAAGAACACAATTAATCGCATACGCTCCCTCAATCTTTTCATTTGTCGACCAGCGGAAATTGATTTTGAACTAACAACGATTTTTCGACTTTCTTGTATATATGTGCACAGGGATAAGGAAAGAAGGACTTGAAGGATTTTAAAAAAAGTACGATCTTCATATTATCAAAAATGTTTTATTTTAATGAAAATAATTATTGACATATATGGGGCGGCTGCCCCCGCCATCCCGCCGGCCACCGCGCCGGCTACCGCGCCGTCCACCGCGACGGTCGCTATACGTGATTCTTTTTATCAGTTTTTTTATCTGACCATAGTGGGAGACGATGGTAGGTCGGAGTGGGGGAATGGTGGGGGTAAAGCGTCCCACGATTCTGGCATCATTGGGACGCGCTTCATTTATAATTGAGCAACCATTATTGAATTATTATTAAAATAAGTTATTTAAATAAAACTTTAAAATAACGAATAAAAGAAGAAAAAAAGTATTGTCATGCGTCGAGTAAAGATCACCAGAATTATCTTTATTTGACGCGTAACAAATAATTTTTCTATTTGATGAAAATGTATCTTCAGCCTAATATAAAGATTTCATCTTTATTTTTATACTTATTTGACGTAAAATAATTCTCTGATCGTGTTCGAGCCGCGCTGCCGAGGACTGGGGAGTCGAAGGCTGGCACACGAGATACAATGTATGTATACATATATTGGGTCGTTCGAAAAGTTCGTGCAATTTCTATGCGTACAATAGTAGTTTATACGTTTCTTTTTTATACTTTGGAATGTTTAATTTACTAGAGACTTTACGCATTTAAATATTATAATTAGAAAACTAGGTCAAACTATGTTTTACGAATAAATTCTCATGAAATAAAAAAATTATTTGTCATGCGTCGAGTAAATATCACCAGAATTATCTTTATTCGACGCATGACAAATAATTTGTTTATCTTTTATTCGTTATTTGAAATTTTTATTTGAATAAAAATTTACCCATCTCTGGTATCAGAGGTGGGCAACTGATCGTTCACGAGTATCGCGCGGCTGGAATTTCTCCTTCCAATGATCGTGAGCAAACAGTTGCCCACCCCCGAAATAAATGTACGAGTATAATTATAAGATCTAATTTTTATTTTACTGTTTCAGATAAAAAAAAAGATTTAAAAAATCATGTATAGCGACCGTCGCGGTGGACGGCGCGGCGGCCGGCGGGATGGCGGGGGCAGCCGCCCCATATATGTCAATAATTGTTTTCATTAAAATAAAACATTTTTGATAATATGAAGATCGTACTGTTTTTCAAATCCTTCAAGTCCTTCCTTCCTTATCCCTGTGCACATATACACAAGAAAGTCGAAAAATTGTTGTTAGTTCAAAATCTATTTCCGCTCGTCGACAAAAGATTGAGGGAGCGTATGCGATTAATTGTGTTCTTTTTGCATCTCTCTATGAAATATATGTGTAAGTATATAACATCTGCATTAATTAGGTCAATAAATGATAAATAACTATTGTTTCTCGGGAATGCCATTTCAAGTATTTCGTATGTAATAAAAAAAATTAGCATCATTGCAAGTACGAATAGAAAAGGTTTATCGTTGCACACATTAGTACGTAAGTATTGCTTCATTCTTGAATCTCTTTCAGTCGCACCATTCTGTTCCTATGTTCGGCGAGAATCGAAATCTCGCCACGAGCCGTAGGTATTCCATCGTTCTCCTGATGGGCAGAATTGTCAAAAATCGATACTGTCAGGCAACACTGTCTTCGCGTAGCAAATACACAAACCCAACTTGATGGTAATGGAGAACAAAATTTATTTGTGGGTATTGCCGTTAGATGTCGTATTATTAAGCTGTTCCAATTATCGATTATGTGTTTTCGTTAGTGTCCGATTGATTACATCAGCGCTTCGATCGATTCGGAGTTGGGCCCAAAGGAGTTTCCCCTCTTAAAATGCGTTGGAGCAAGTTTTGACGACGGCTAGCCGGCCGCCGGCTAGACGGATAGTGTGAATTAGCCTTTGGAGTGCGTGTGGTCCTGGAAGGACGAGCATGAGCCTAAATAGCCGGTTATCGGCTATCGAAGGTTTGTTTATCGAAGGACGTTGCGTTGCCTTTAGAATAAGCACATTTTTCCTGGAAAATGTGGCCACGGAGTGTGGACGGATGGGGTACCTTCTGGTAAGAGGTCTGTGTTGTACCGCACCGCACTTACTCCAGAATCTCTGAGGAAAATAAGTTCCTACTCAAAATTGAAGTATCGGTAGAAAGTTTCCGACATGTAGGTATATTTATTCAGAAAAGTTAATATTTTGTAACTAAACTGAAAAAGAAGCAGACATCCCATGACTAATAGTTTCAGGTGGTCAAAATTAACTTGTACACCATGTTTTCATAAACATGGACAAAAACCGTAATTTTTAACATTTTATATTTTTGAACCAAATTCGAAATGAAAAAAATAATAACAAACCTTCTCTAATTTCACATGGAATACGTAATTTTTTAATTTCAAAATGATTCCTGACATCAGGTTCAAAAAGTAACCGATTTAGCGTTAAAAGACTGAATGGTTATTGTACAAATATTATGAATATTGTACACGATATAATACGTCATTCATATGAATTTTTTAAACTCTCATAAATGCTGAAACATTGAGAATAGAATGTAACGTTCGTATGACATTCTTTACTTGGAATGATTTTTCAAATAATCTACGAAAATTTCTTACGCTCACTCGAATACACACCTTGTATTGCTTTATTTCATTACCCATATTTCTGAATCTTGTGATTTGGACAATAGCCAAACTAGATATATTTATAACAAGAAACCATATACATATGATTCTATTAAGTATACGCATATGTGACATTAAAAATCAATATTTTTTACGGCAATATAAATTTTACTAAATACAAATTTCCACTGTCGATTCGTTTCTTTAGTTACCGAGACGCATGTAAATCTCCAACTTTAATTTTCTAATAGGTTGTATCTCTAGTCATCGCACAAACGCAGATCTGAACAATTAATTTTTGAAGTCACTGTGGAGTAATTCCATAGGATTTGTTTACTCACTGTTGATTATAATGTGTTGATTATTTAGCTAAACCTTTTATGTCTCCCGTATGTTTCAAGTGTATGATGCAACCGCAAAAATGCCGTCTGGCCTTCTAAACGGAAATGTAAATCAGTTTGGTGACTTCGACGAATGCATCGGGATTCAAGGAAGTGAAGGAATTCAAGGACAATACTGTTTAACGTACCTACAACTGACCGTTGATGAGTCGCGGTTAGACCTTAGACACATCCATCGTCTCTTGCACTCTCACTATGCATTTAGAAGTAACATTACGGATGTAAGTACGTATTTATATTCAATGAACTTAAATTCTCAATGAAAGAAAATTCTTTGCAAAGGAAATCCGCAACTGCAAAAATTTTTTCCACGCATCAACAATCGGAAAATGTTGTTTGTACATTTAACCCCTTAGCTACGATTTACTTATCACATATTCCACAAATATTTATAACTTTAGGAGGGCGCCGCCGCTAATATTTATATTTGGCCCGATTATCGTATTACGGGCTATGCCCGTAATATTCACTTTTGGCCCGATCATCTACTACGGGCTATGCCCGTAATATTTACGTTGGTCCGATCATCTACTACGGGCTATGCCCGTAGTTGTAGGTTAAGGAGTTAAATTCTTTCATAAATTCCTTCAGGAAGGCAAACAGTACTGGACAAAAAGATAGCACATGTGTTCTGCCATTAGGTTATCAAGGATAGATTCAGAATCCCCCAAATTTGACAAATGATATGTAAAGAATATTTTGTAGTAATATAATATTTAATTGCAACGTGAAATTTTATGATCGGTTTTCATATTTATGAACAACAACATGTAAAACGGAGTCGGCGAAATGATAGCACATTTTCAAAATTGAAATATTTATTTTCTAACAAATTAAAAAAAAACTACAGGGTGATTCTCTCGCCGTGGAAATCAAAGAATGTGCCGCTCTAAAGAACCGCCGCGCCGGGACGTATAATCTGTCGATCGATTCTCACTGTTGTTGACGCCCCGGGACTACACACACACGCCCAGCACGGCGGTTTTTTAGAGCAGCACGTGCTTTGATTCTCACGAACGAGAATCTTGAAACAGTTGCCTAATATTAAATTGGCGGGCAACAGTCGCAACTGGACGCGTACCACGTCGATCGAGCCCGGGATGTACAACCTCAGGCGGATTCAAAAGAGAACGCGACAAAGTATGCAAATTTAGGTTTCAATGCATTTGGTAGTATCTTCTAGGTGTGTCTGCTATGAGCGTCAACGTCACTTGTTTTCCTTTAGTTTGTTCCACAAACTTTCCAATTTTTTTACAATTTGAAAAGAAATTTTTTGTTTTCTTCATTTATTCGTAGACTTTTTTTCCATTTCAGTATTTTGCAGTCTTTTAAAATAATAATCATTCAAAATAAATTGGTTAAATTGATAAAACCTATGAGGCGCCATATGGAGCCCCACACAGATATGATACCAAACACGCGAGCTACCTTAATAATCACGTAGTGTATGATACATGCGCCGTGCCTGAGTCTCAATCGGGATAAACTGTCAATGAGTCAATAGTACAAGGTGTCAAGAAAGTACATGTTGTGGTTACCATAGACGGATTCTGCACTTGCGATTTGGTAGAGATACAGGTAAGAACCTTGCCGCAAAATTGACCTTGACTTTGAATTTGAAGGTCAAATTTTGTATCGTTGTATTACATTCTACTCGTCGTGAGGATAAAAAGTCTTAAAGGAACCATGGGTTGGAACTCAACTGTTCTCTTGAAATATGATGTTTCATTAATTTTCAAACTGATTTTATTTGTAATGACGTAAATAGCTTCATACTATGTTATTATGACTATGAGATACGTTGTAGTTATTCATAATAGTTACGAGCTTCCAATAGTAACGAAAGTAGGTAACTGTTACTCAATTATGTACTTTTTAACTAACAATAAAACACGTTTCAAAATTGATAACATGGAACGCTTATCAAATGTATAATTTAGTTATAAATCACACACTTTGCAGGAACAGTTAGCAACTGTGATTAAGTGCAAAGTAATTTCACTCCATGGTGTCAAATACCATGTCGAAAGCTCGTGAAAATTTATGCTGAAATTACTTAATACAGTGGAGTCCGTTTATAGCGACATTCAAGGGACAGAAAAATTACGTCGCTGTAAACGATTGTTGTTATAAGCAGACTGAAAATATGTATAAAGTAATGTGTATGGGAATCGAACTTAGAAAGCAAATTGGATGCAATATACGGTCTGCTATTATAAGCGGTGTCGCAATAACCGGACTCCACTGTACTCTTAATTTGTTGTCATCGCAACAACTCGCGCATGTTGTACAATCAATATCGTGCTTTTGGACACTGTAACGTAATGCGAGAAAGTGATTCATGCCGTTACTTGTAACGCGTAACGCATTGAAAGTGCACCCTATATTAAAAAATGTGACAAAAATACCTGAACAAAGTGTAGATTATTATGACAGACATGTATTTGTTGTTAGAAAATTTGTAACAGAATATTTGTTATACGAAATTTCTTCTATTTTACATTTGATATTTATTTCCCGAATTTCTCAACTGTTAAATATTATTGAAAGTAAAAATTATACTGTGCATTTCATTCGCAGATACCTGCACATGTAACTCTTACAAATAATAACCTTCGCCTACAGAATCTAGGTATCAATATATTACTTATTTTATCGTACGTTTTCAATAACCATATTTCGATTATAAATTTATTTCTCAAGAAATTGTTATTACCAACTATTGTAGGTACACATAAGAGAGTAGTATTATCTATAATGTTCTAAGAGTAGCCTTATTGTATTATTATAAACAATGATGTAATGTGAGTATATTACTTTGTTTTCTAAATATATTTTTTATAAGTTCCATATCAAAAACCATTATCATGAAAAATTTTCATCTTTAATGTCGAATAAAAACGTATATACAGAAGGTAATTGGCTGTTATGTGCGTATGCATGTGAGTGGTTGGGGAACTGACCGTTAGGGAGAGGGTGAGTCGTTGTGGGAAATGTGCCTATGGTCTGTTTTTCGAAAGATGATGCCTGGGAGGTAGGCCCGAGTTTTCGCGGTGTTGCCGCGATCGCGAGACACCTACGGCACTTGTGTCTCTCTCACTGTTCGCGTCTTGGCCAATGACGTGCGACCGTCGACGTGAGTCCTCGCCCACGATCGTCTGTCTCTTTCATTCTTCGCGTCTTGGCCAACGACGTCCGACCGTCGACGTGAGTCCTCGCATACGGTCGTCTGTGTCCATACACGTATTACAAACCTCTCGAGAAGGACCTACCTACAATCTCCAGGAGTGGGGACTGCGTTCGGTACGCGCCCGTCAATCATCCATTGTCTGGAAATGGCGGAGAATGTTGACGAGACGCTGAACGTTTTCACACGGCAAAAGTTAAAATACATGAATAAGAAAAATTTTATTTCTTTTAAAAGAATGCATTGTACCCAAATATTGAGGAATATATTAAAAGGAGACTAAATTAACACGTAGGTTATTAAACGCTACACGTGGAAATCGCAGGGTAAAGAAGGAAGTTGGTTTACCGAGCGTCTGAGCGAGAGGCTCGCGTGCCGAAGTGCCGGAGGATGGAAAGAGACACACAGTGGCATTGAGACCGTCACAACGTCGCACGAAATACGTAGCTCGCGTTGGATCCCCGACAGGCCACGCCTCAAGGCAGGCCAACCTCCCAGGCATCATCTTTCGAAAAACAGACCATAGTAGCATACAGTATAGTATTCGCCTTGAGTGTCCTCTGCGTATGTCTTCTTTCCTCGTCTTTTCAAATAACACTCTCCCACTTTTCGACTTCTGGGAGACGTGGCCTATCTCTTCGTCATCGTCGTCAGCTCGTGTGGTCGTAGATGCCTCCATCCTGGACGAGCCCCCAAATATAGGAGCGTTGGAAAAATGCGATGACCCAAGCGGAATTCGATCGAACCCACGATCCCCGGCGCCGAAAGCCGAGACTTTACACTCTGCTCCACGAAGCCTTCCTATTTTCCACTGATATTATTTGCTCCCTCTTGTTGGGTACGGAGGTCCTGATCCCACATACATGTAGATAATTATTACAAATAATTATTATAAGTTATTTCCAACCTTCTGTGCCCCGACTTTATTTTCACAAAATGTGAAATGTCAAACGTGTTGCGCGACAGTAACAAATTGTGAGTATATTCATAAATAAGAAATTAAAATCAATTTGAAATATAATAACAAGTTTTTGGTGGTAGCAACGTTTCTGACGCTTTTAAGACGATATTTAAATGTTGGCAAACTCTGAGTGGGCCAATGTTGTACTATCATTGTGAAGTTTTTGTTAATTAACCAACTATAATAATTGTAGGTCCAACATTGGATATTCGCTGGCAAATTGTCATAACTTTTTCGTCGTAAGCCCTATTTTGGGGATTTGTATGCAAAAACACTAACTACAGTAATGTCCTGATATGTGTGAATGCCTCGGTTCCGCGGAGTCACACTCACGCTGAGCGCGGACAATTGTCAGCACCTCGTCAATTAGGTTTTTGCTCGAAGCTCGAGCCTCGGCAGGTTGCCTTTGTAGTGTTCCGATATAGAAAAGTACAAGCGAGTGAAAAACAGAAAGAGAGAACATCTCTTTCCACGCGATTCGACAGCGACGCACCCACCGGCCAATGGTTACATTGTAATCGCTGCGGTTCGCGTTATCTTACTCAGTCTCGAAGTGTCTCGTTAGTTCTCTTGGTCACACAGTCCGATTGTGTGTGTGTACCGTTTCGTCCAATAATAAAAATACGTGTGACTGGAGGTGATCCAGCTACCATTGTAACGTCGACAGCACTCTAAGCATTCGCTGGACACTTAAAGGGGGAGACTCAGTGGCCCGTGAGCTGTGTCCGTGCACTCAGACAATCGACGGGAACCGTGTATGCATACGCGATGCACGAGAAAGACATTCGATTTCGTAGGAACCAGAATGAGTCTCAATAATTGCACAAATGAACTTTTCACGGGCATACAACTCACGGGTAGACTTCATTACAGGGTGGTCTGACCCGTTTAAACACCAATAAACACGTAGAATTGAAAGAACTAGAATTTTAGAAAGTGTGCGATTGTGACAGACGCCGATGAAAACGCACAAGATTTAATGGTTTTCTCGTCAAAAGCAGAGCAGCCACCCTGCACATCACTATCACACTATCGTGGAAATTCGATTTGTATCACATTATCACTTCTGGAAGTCACATTTTGGTTTCTACGATTTGACGCGTCCGTCAAGAAATAAACAGTGGTGTGGTTCAAGGATTCTCTTCTGGAGGCGTTTATGTGTCAGCATAATAAGTCATGTGTCAGCACAGACGAGATATAAGAATAGACCTAACATCTTATGGGACTTGGTGTCCCACGAAAGTCACGCTGATTCGAGCGCACTCTACATTAAAGTTTCCGACTTTAGGAACTACGTTGGACACCACGATGATGCACAACACACACACACTCGTGACTGCATATAGCGATACACACATGCATTATTGCCCCGGTTTCGCTAGCAAGGAAGAATGTTCTGCTTTTCTCGCCCATATACAATGTATACAAGTAGGCCCGGTAGAAATGTATACATGCTATTATATTAATCTAACTATTACGAATATGAAAAAATGTTTTATATAAAAGTTGTTTCCCTTTTTGTTAGGGTGGGCGTAGGTGGGAGGGGGCCCAGATCTTCCCTTGTTTGGAGTTTCCCCCTCTCCCTAACTCTATTCGCGTGTTGTAGATCGTTGACGGCTCTTACGAGGGTCGCAATAGCCAGTTTAATCTATTTTGGAGCTGCCGTGGTGGTTTTTGCCAATTGGTGGAAAGACTTAGTCTTCTCCACCGTTTGTTTGACCGCTGCGTCCATAGAGTCCCTCGCTGGTCTGTATGTCTCCGTTTTCGTCTCAATCCTCTTTCTCTTCCCCTGCTGTTTGGGGAAGGAGAATTCTTCGGCCTCTGAGAAGTCAATCAGGGTCTCATTCCCAGGGTTTGATCCTTCCTGAATCTCAGATGTAGAATGAGATCGTATATGGGCCCTTGGTGGGCTACCGCTCAGTGACGTTTTCGGTTTGAACGGGTAGTCTATGGATTCTTGTAGTATCTCGAGAGAGCCACCCCCCCCCCCCCAAACTGGCTGGTACTGGGGGATCTGTACTCCCTGTACCGTAAACTACATTTAGAGAAAATGGGCTTATGAGAATATAACCAATCCGTCCCGCATTCCTTCCGCTTGTCATCTTTCAAGCAACGCATAATACATTGTACTTAATTTCTTTTTCAGCCTGGACATCGAGTTCCTCGGTTTAGCATAATAAATTGGGGAGTGTGTACACCAGCAACATGTACCGCAAAGGACGTTGAAACAGCCGTTCGCGATGTCCTTACAAGATACACTTCGCAAACTGGTATTAAAGTTACAGTAAAAGTGAATGAAGAAATGTGTCAGGTGAAGAGGAAGGAGCTACCAAAGGAAACTATGTACGCCAGGTAACAGGCATCAAATATTTTGTTCATACAAACGCTCAAACGTGATACAACTAAAAGAAATGTACTAATTGTCTCTTTTCTTTTTAGTTTGTTCTTTATGACTATTCTGGCACTGACAATCGTGGCGGCATATTATGATCATTACAAAATACCTGCCAGCGAACTACTCTTATCGTTTTCCTTAAAACGTAATTTCAAGAAGCTTGTGTCATTAGAGCGAGGACAAAATGATATAGCAACGCTTCATGGCATTCGGGCAATAAATGCTCTAATGTTGCTTTTAGCTCATAAAAGCATGGCCCTGTTTTTTAATCCATACACAAATAGAACAGAAATGAGTGAGGTATGATTGTAGTACTTTAAAAATAAATCAATTTTAACACTTTCACTCGCTGCGATTGGTAGCCAACGTTACCGCGGGAACTCGGTTAGTAGACTCGTGCTCTGATTGGTCCGGGTTTTTCGTTAATATCTAGTTAACAAAGTCTCAGATAACATTTTTGCTAAGGAAAAACTTGTTTCAAATCATCTCACGAGTTTCCCATTTCCGGGTCCACCAACATTTTTGTTACACCCTGTATGTATCACCAAAATGTGTCTGAAATATTTTATTTTTACTGTAACTTAAACAAATCGAAATAGATCCATTGTGTATATGACATTTTTGGCATTGAATATCCAACTAAAGATGTTACATATGTTGGTCGATTTCATTTAGAAACATCCAGTATAATGTGAGTCATAAATCATATACACTTTTTCATTTTTACGTTTACAAAGACAGCTGCAAGTCTTTATGACATTTCGATTTAATAATTAAGCTCCTCTCATTCCTTAAAAGATACATGTTGTGTGACAAACATTTTGTTTTCTACTGTAGTTGCAACTTGATTAAAAAATAATACTAAATTACACTTAATTAATGTTAAGTGAACAAAGCGTAAACTTTAGTTCGTTCCTAATGAAAACCAACTTCTGGAGGAGAAAAATGTACACCTCGTGCAGTTGCAAAGGTTACTTATTGTAATAAGAAGTTGTATACAGTATGTTTTTGTTTTAGTACCTTGGCAAACCGTGGACAGTCATAGGGAGAGCTGCAAGTCTTTATACTGATCCATTTATAATGCTTTCTGGACTTCTAACATCATACTGTTTCGTTGGAAAATTAAGAAGAACTGGAAATTTAAATGTTAAGGATGAATACATATCTCGTTTAATCAGGTAATGAAAATTATTCATGTTTTAATCAGGGCTACGGAGTCGCCAAGCAAAATTCCCGACTCCGACCCCTCTTATTTTTGCTTTGATTCCGATTCCGAATCTTACTGGTGCACTTATAATAGATTGTTGGGATCATAAATATATGTATGTTTATCAACAAACTATTAATATTTAATATATGTATAGTGTAGTATCAGGAGATTCGGAGAATGAAAGGTTGAGCGAACTTTGGGAGAGAACAACTCGGGTGACTGTTAGTGCGATACGTAGTAAGAATGTATGATATGTGTGTGAAGTCTTTAAGAAAGCGGTATAAATTAAGAGCGGCAGAGAACGAGAAACTGTGAAAGAGAACGCATTAGAGATCAGTGAGCAAGTGTGAAGCTAGTATACAGGGTGTTGGACCACTAGTGGAAAAAAATTTGAAGGGTGATTCTTTGGGGCAAAATAAGATGAAAATCAAGAATAACGAAATTGCGACAAATGCTTCGTTTAGTAGTTATAAGCGTTTAAAAATGGACCCAAATGATGGCAATCCACACGCCTGGAGTGTCAGCGGGGCAAGGTTCGTAAGGGGCGTACAGTCACTCTAAAGACTCAACGACATCCAGGAAAAGTAGGTAGAACAGCTGTCTACTTACCCGGTAGAAGATGTCAATAACTTGTGACCACGGTATTTGAGTCGAATCCACTTGTATCGCATTAACTCTGATTACTCGATAAAATTTTCAAGAAATGTAAATATCTTCTTATGAATATTATCGAATAGAGAGGGTTAATACCCCCTCTGGTTGTCACGTACAGCAATTGTCCTGTCCACGAGTATTCATGAAATTAATCCGCACATGCATGTACACCACAGAAGTCAGCGACAAGTACCCACACACATTGCGCGATTGTACCGACCGCGATAAATGTTTAGACACTGCGCGATTAATTAGACCCATGCGTAGTTCCTCCGTTGCGTTTACCACTGTACACGTTACACAAAACTAACACCCAAAATGATTAATTTATAACTATTATTTACACTCATTTTTACCCTATACTAATGAATTTATAGCTACTATTCATATTAAACCTACAATATTTAATAAAACCTGCAATAATTAATAAAATCTACAATATTTAATCAAACCTACAATAGTTAATAAAACCTACAATAATTAATTTACACTATTTACAATGTTACGCGGAATTTTTCTTTCGGGTCCCGGTCAGCCGTGTGGCCGTGGTCCGCCACGAACAAAGCCCCTCTCTCGGCCCCGCGACTATTCCCCGAGTGCTGGTATTGGGTACGACAGTCGTACTACGACTTCCGATACCCTCCGAGATTTACTTAGAGTGGAGTCTACGAGAGAGTGGCTGTTGCCGGCTAGCACGCATAATGGGCGGGGTTCGCAAGTAGGATGCGGAAATTCTCCTCGCGGCAGAAGGCGGTTCACGAGTGAACGGAGATCGTTTTGCGTTAATTTCGCTATTTATTACCGCCACGCGTCTACCCTTGAGGGCAACGCTACAATAGGTGGCAAACGATAACAATCCGATAACAATTCTCGTCCGCAGTTCGGTACTCGTCGCAATATAAACTAAGTAACTATTAGAAATAAACTTTTATTTCGTATATAAAAGAATACAACACACTCTTGGGGAGACATCTCTCCTTGTACGCATCTACAAAGCGTCTAACGCAACTGCTCGCGAAAAGAAAAAGGAAACGGCGGTCGCGTACGTTGGATGGAAGTGTCGAGAAAGTCGAGAACGGAAACATACCAGCCATGCGTGAATTGCCATAAGCTATCATTTCTTCTGTAACACTTCCCCTCAATTCGCGTGTACGACAAAAATAATGTTAATATAAGCAAGAATCTCTACATTACATTTCCTTCATATTTAGAAGCTCCAGGCCCTTAACATGCCTCGCATTATTTAGTCCCTTGGTCAACATATCTGCTGTCATTACAGTAGTGGGTGTATACCTTACATTGACAATACGGTTCGCTACAACTTGTCGCATGAAATGATAACGGATATCTATGTTCTTCATTCTACTGTGATAGATTGGATTTTTGGCTAATTTTAACGCTCCTTGGTTATCATTAAATATATCTATCGGTGTAACGTCTCGCAGCTTCATTTCATGTAGAAACTCCTTGAGATGAATTGCTTCCTTTGAAGCCTCAGTAAGGGCCATATATTCCGCCTCTGCGCTAGATAAAGCTACCGTTCGTTGCTTCCGGCATTCCCAACTTACCGGTCATCCGCACAAAACCTACGACCTATATCGCGTTTCTGTTTGCATATTCTCAGCGCAACATTTGTATTTTTTTTTCATACACCACTCGGGCTCACTTGGTCACAATGCCGAGGGTGTGCGAGTCTGGACATTATAAAACTCTCTCTTGTCTTCTGCAGTGCGACCATTTTTTTTACACTTTTTTTTGAAGAACGTATCTTCCGTGTACAAAAAGGACGATAGCTTGTCCTACACTCAAGTTTTAATAACCAGTCATATGTTTCAATTTCTTTTAATCCCTTTAAAACTCTTGCTGAAATTTGCTTTTTTGAATTTCTACTGGTTCCTTTTCTGGATTTGTTACATGCCTTCGCTTTACTTTTAAACGTCCTAATTATCGATACAAATGTAGTATTCTTAGTATTTAATTAGTTTTATTACAACTTTCAATTATTTTGAGTACATTTTTGATTTTTATAAAATTTACTAACATGTAGTCGAAAACGGTATACTTTTTTCCGACTCCAATTCTGATTCCAGTGATCAGAAGTTCCTCCTGAACTTTGACTCCGACTCCAATTCCACAGACTTGGTTCTAATAATAGACACTTGTATTAGATTTTAAATTGTAAATTAGAAGTAATAAAAAAAATCAATAGAAAATAATAAAAAAATAATCAATTTAACAAACATTACGTTTTTCTTCTTAGATTGGTACCATCTTTAGCAGCGCTAATGGTGCTTTGCACTTATGTAATACCTTATGTTGGTTCTGGACCACAGTGGAACTTGGTAGTAACTGAGCATGCAAATATATGTAAACGAACTTGGTGGAGAAATTTCCTATTTATACACAACTACTTTGGATTTGAGTCAATGGTATGTAATTTCTTAATAAATTTTTGATGAGCAATGGATGAACCATATCAGAAGATATATCATAAAATTAATGTCCTTTCTGATTTTAGTGTTTAACTCACACACACCACTTAGGTATAGACACTCAACTTTTTATCCTTTCACCTATGATGGTACTACTACTTTATAAAACACCAAAGACTGGAACTATTATTCTTACACTATGTGCTGTGTTTTCAACATTATTGCGGTATTTTGTAACACATTTCAAACAACTGAATAATTATGTATTCTTTGGCACGTCGTAAGTCAATGCTGTACTTTTATACCCAACTTTTCTGGAAATTCTTTATAAAACATTTGTCTAAAAGTAATTTTATATTTGCAGAATAAAACAATTGTTTGACACTGCAGACTTCTCATATACCTTGCCATCGCATAGACTGACAGTATATATAATAGGAGTATTGGTCGGTTATTTATTAAGATATTTACCTAGAGATTACAAGATAAACAGAGTAAGTAAAAATAACTATATGAATCTGTAAATAAGTGCATTTGGTCTTCATTCTTTTTTATTTCTTCAGATAGCTTTATATGCAGGCTGGATCCTGTGCATAATAATGTTCTGTTGTGCATTTTTTGGACCTGCACGCATGGGGTCTATAGATTACATCTATGATCCGCTACACGCTGCTCTGTACAATGCATTCGCTCCTATCGGATGGTGTGCTCTTTTTGCTTGGGTAACTATAATGCACCATAGTGGAAATACGAATGGTAAGCGCATAAATCATGTTAAATAAACTGTAATAATGAAATGCTACGATCGGGCAACCTCTTTTCCAACAAAACATACAATTAGTGCAAAGCACAAGAGACGATGTAACTAAACAAATCCTGGAATAATAGTTGCTATTGATCATCTGAACACTACAAGATATAATGGAAACAACCCAGTCAGCCAAACCGGCCAAACCTGTAAAGTCAGATTGTGTCCAATGCCTGTTAAGAAGGTTTTGCAATCAGATTGGCATACGGAAATTGGCAGCAAATTAGCAGCAAGTTTTTCAATATAGCCTAGGTTATAAATTGACCTATGTTACTTAGCCTGAGTTATGTTGCATGATTTGCTGCTAAGTTGCTATCAATTTACTTTACCATTTTGTCAGCAGGCTTTGTCTGCAAAACCCAAATTAAATGCGGAAACAGATAGCTATGGTCTTGTATACAAATTTTTTCAATATTTGCTGTCAATTTGCTCAAAACTTGCACACAACTGGTTATCAGGGATGGTACATACGAAATACTTGAAATGGTTTCTGGAGAAACAAATTGTAGAAAGAACACCATATATTCCAAGTATTCCATGTACAAAAAACATGGAATACTACACAAATCTGCTGTTTGAATTGATTTATTTATCATTTATTGACATAATTGGTACGGGTCTTATACCTATGCGTACACATATGTATATTTCATAAAAAGGACGCAAAAAGAACATTGTATAAACAAATTTATTCAATGAGAATTTATTCAACTAATAAAGAGACTTTTGTTATTCTAAGAGCGTTTCATTCGTAGTGTCGAATAAAATTCTCATCTTTTATCTGTATCTTTATTTGAAGGCTTCGAATAAAACTTCGTATAACTTCTGACAACGCAAATAATAGTCCAGACGAATTAGACTTTAAGCAAAAAATAATTCTAATTAGCTATTTTTTTGGACGCAATGATTCGGAAAGTCATTAGAAATGAAATGTATACGCGCAAAATTCCTGAATTGTTGCCGAACATTGTTTTAAAAAATCGAAAAGATGGGAAAAACATGAATTTCGCATGCAGAAGAAAATATAATGATTTTAGAGAAAAAACGTTTGTTTGAAAAAACCAGAGACCAAAAATACCAGTTACTTTAAATATTTTTTGGAAAAATATCATTTTAAAGGAATTTAACCCTCCGAGCACGGTCCCTGGGTCACGCGGTCTCGACAGCGACACGCACGCAGTGACGGAGCTGTCGTGTAAATCGCATAGCGACCGATGTTTGTTTACATGCCAACGACCGGGCCAAGACGCCGCAGTAGTATTGACTAATAAATATAATTTGTTTTATAATTCACGAGATTTTTATTCTAGTTAGTGTAATAAGAACCACGAAAATCCAAATGTAATGTGGAACCAGCTAATCATTACATTGTTTACATGGTGACGGTGGCTCGAGCTCAAGCTCGAGCAACCGCCACTGCGTAGTAATATCGGTGAGGGTCTCGAGCTCGAGCCATACTGGCACTGTGTTAATACAGTGTCGGCGAGGGCCTCGAGCTCCAGCCTCGCCGTCGCTGTGTAGTAATAAAATATCGGTGTAGGGTCAGAAATGACAATTCATTGTCAAATTTGGCAAGACAGATAAGTTGATTAACATTTGGAAACTAAAAAATGAAGCTGTGTTTATTTTATCTTGATGTTATTTTAGTATTAATGTACTTGACAAATGAATTATTGAAATATTTATTTCATTTGAAATTTAAATGTTAGTTATTTAATTTGATTGACAGTTGTAACGTTACTAGGATAGTGCGTAACATTTTAGGCATGGTTAATTTTGTTAACAAGTGTGATGGTATGTGTAATGATAACGCTGACAAAAATTCATCCATATGTTTATTACATACGAAAAAGTGTTATGTGTTATTTTGAATGCAACAAGTATTTGTATGTTAATTTCAATGTTAACTGTTATTTGTTATATAACGAAATATCGTTTATACGATGTTCGTCTAGTGCAATACAAATTTGATTCCATTGCTTTTTTGATAAATATTACTCAGTCGTATGTAATAATACAGAATAAAAGTATACTGTTTGTATTTGAAAACATGTATGCGTTCGTAGACATTGTTAAACTGCTGTATTAACAATAGAAAAATAAAATAATTCCCTCAAATTTACATAATTACACATAAATGTCTCCTTAATAGCAATATTAAACGTAATTACTTTTATGTACGTGAAAGAAAAACAAATAGGTACGCCGAGGCTTGAAGTCAAGACCCTTTTCTAATACGTCTACTTTACTTATACATCGAACAGACAGAAGAGAATCTGTACGACTATGGTCCCTTCGCTGATTTCCGAATCTATCAAACACTCATGATCTGACAACATTGCATACTTTAGACTTGACACTGTCCAACTGTGGCTAGCTCGGCTCGGGTCGAGTTCAACGTAGTTCTCAAATTCACCATTCTCAAAACGTAGGGGTCAGTCAAATGACAGGCCTTTTCTGTGTCGGTACTACAGTTTTAGGTGGGCTAAGCCTAACTCCCGTAAGGTGAGAGGTCTACTCTTATACCTCGTCTGTGGTTACGCAGTAACCAATACCACCGACTAGGTATAGGATAGACCTATCATCTTATGGGACTTCGTGTCTCACGTTCTGAAATACCGTAGTGTAAAAAGTCAAGGATTTTCTGCTGCCCTTTACGTTATGAGAACGGTGAATTTGTGAACTACGTTAAATCCATTCGAGCTCAACTAGTCTATTTGTTGTCGAGTCTAAAGTACGCAATGTTGTCAGATCATGAGTGTTCCGTACGTCGGAAAATCATCGAAGGGACCATGGTCGTGAACAGATTCTCTTCCATCCGTTCGCTGTAAAGTAGACGTATTATGTAGAAAGGAGTCTTGGGTTCTAGTCCCGACGGATCTATTGGTTTTTTTTCGCGTACAAAAAAGTTATTGCGTTTAATATTGTTTTTATGAATATGTATGTGTATTATTATGTACATTTGAGTAAATTATTTTATTATTCCACTGTTATTA